ACATCGCATCTACCTCGTGCGTGCACAAGTGTGTGCACGTTTTTATGTGATGTATTTTGATCAGGTCATGTCATTAAAGAGATAGTATAAACATTATCACACTGGTGCAGCGGAGGAAGACAGAGCTCCAGACACACTTACCACCCACCACTGTGTGTGTGTGTGCGTGCGTGAGCGCGCACGCGCGCGCGTGTGTGTGTGTGTGTGTGTGTGTGTGTGTGTGTGTGTGTGTGTGTGTGTGTCTAGACACCACTGTGGCCTGGCTCAGGTATTGGCACGTCGTTTCCCTCTGTTAGTGTGTGGAGAGGAGCTTGTGACGAGGCGAGGCCTCGCTCGGCTGCTTTATCCCTCCACAGCAGTCTTGGGTGGTCAGAGTGGAGAAACGGGTTCACCTGCATGGAATTATGGCCCTTGAGCGACGAGTTATGATGTGGTTTATATTTCATCTCTTGAACTTCATTCCAGAGCATGCAGTTACATGCTCCTGCATTCCCAGGGAGAGGGAAACAATGCTCCAGTGATCTGGGCTGAACTTGGCTGCCTGATGCATCCCATGTAGAGCAGAGCAGCATCCAAGGGGGCTACGCTGGGTTCTGGTCGGTCAGAACTAGGCTCCTAGATGAGATTTGCCCCAGCCTGGGATGGAAATGCTCTCAGCTCTCCACCAAACCAGCTCCGGAACTAAGCTGGACCCAGAGTTAGCTGAGATCCACTGCTGCGTTCCTGCTGCTGACGGCTCCGGCTCCAGAACCTCTACTGGATCGCTGGAGCTGGAGGCGGGCTCACAGAGACCACCGACCAATCAAAACATTGTTAGTTTCATTTTTACTCTGCTTCCATGGGTGGGTTGGGGTGCTTCCTCTGGTGGGGGGTGCAACTGTTTGCATCCTTAGTTTAGAGAAAGCTGCAGTAAAACCTTCAGGCGTGACTTCATGGTGTTTGGTTTGGAGATCTCATGGGTTATTTATCTACACACCAACACATTCTCCGTAAGACTCCCAGCTGACAGGTCACAGAGACTCCAGAATAATTGGTTGGGGTGACCTCCTCCGTTAACATGCACCCATCCACCCCTCCTCTGGTCGTACCCATCGCCTCTGGAGTCTGAAGACCGTTAAATCTGCTTTTCTGTTGTCTAAAAATCACTGTGAAGGTTCGACATTCGCATCATGCAGATAAAAATACACTTTTGAAACTTATTAAAAGATCTATTGAAGATGTTGTTTCAGCAAGAACAAATGCAGCTAACATTTAAAATATTTGTTACGAGCTACACTCGTCTAAATCCCACTTCTTCACCAACCTTATCGCCATTCCTACCAGATCAGCAGTGTTGAGGTAACAAAAGCAGCAGAGGCATAAAGTAGACATGTTGTTATTTTTAGAAACAAATAATAGAAAATCAGCAGCAAGTCTTCGGGCTCCGTGAAGAGCCTTGTAGAACTTCATCTGCAGCGTTTGTCAGGGTGAAATAAAAATGGGTAAAATAGAAAATGCCTGCTATGATTCAGAAAGAGTTTCTAATGATATTAAGATATTATCCTGCAGCTGCCTTGTTTTTCCTAATGCAAGCTGGAACTTGTAGGAGGCTGTGACTTCCTCGCTACCATGAAGATAAAAGCAGCATGGAAGCTAAATGCATCATAGTCGACATTTCCTAGTCGTGTGGGCCTGTCTACGGCGGCTGAGCTAATGGGGATTCACCTAATTATTCCCCTAAGAAGTACGCAAGCAGTCCCCTCCTGAGCTCTCCCTCATCTACAAGCCTTTTCTAAAATTAGCCATCCATCTTTGGTGCACATCAGCATGTGTTCCTCCTCCCGCCTCTGCTTCTTACACAGTAATAATGTATTCTGGTCAGCTCAGAGCTGCTTTCACTGTTCAGGGGAAACACCGGAGACTGGAAATGACCCATGAGCGAGAAATACGCAAACTAAAATGATGCAGATTTAAATATTTAAAAAACATAAAGAGAAACTGTGAAACTTGTTTAGCCTGATCAGGTCAGGTGTCTGAGAAGACCCAAAAGGATGGGACCCTAAACACAAACCTTAAGATGATTATATTTAACCAATCTGCACATTTTAACTCCTGATTTAAACTATCGAGAAACGTCCACCTGAGGCCGATGAAGGGGTTAGCTGTTAGGTTAACCATCATCATCTAACCAGAGGTTTACCACGTTTCTGCTTCTCAGCACCACCTCAGCCCATTAGGGACCATCATTAATGTAGAACCTCTAATAGTGTAAATAACCCTTAAATCAAGCAGGAAACTGGCCCTATTTAGAGCTTTATTAAAGAACCAGACTTTTTCTTAAAAGTGACCATAAATGGTTCATTTCCTGTTTTTGGTTAAAATAATCCAAAAATAGATAAAGTAGAAAAATGCAGGTAAAATGATGTTTTTCAAATAAAAACAGCACAAATATGACTCGGTAGGTGGCTCTCTGGAAAAGTAAAGAAGTCATCAAATTTTTACTAACTACGGTTTGGTTGACCTCAAAATGAGGATGTCTAGCTGCTAATATGAACTCATTTCCAGGACAAGGAAATTAAAGAAACTCATGAAAACTCAAATGATTCTAAACTACAAACTAAAACAGGAAATGAAGTCATCCAGAACACGTTGGAAACCAAGAGGTGAAAACCTTCAGACCAAACGGGACGGGCTGGGGGGGTGGATGATTAATCCGTGCCGGGACTGCAGATGTCACTTTGTGTTCACTTATGACTCAAACAGGACACGTCTGTGGTTTTGGTTTTCACAACCGTATGAATTCATGTTCGGGGGTGTCTCGGTGTTTGGGGATTGTTTGGATCCTGTCACGTTACGGGATGGTAGGACCCAAAATGCAGAACCCAAGATGACACGAGGCAGATGGTGATATAATAAAATATCCTTTATTTGGATGAGCCGAGAACAAACAAAAATAAATCCAAAGGCAGGGAGCCAATAAGTCCAAAACTATCCAATTACCAAGCTAGAGACAAAACACTGAAGACTAGAAAAGACTGGGATTCAAAAAGCTAGAGACAAGAGAAGGCTCGACAGAAATGCCACAATGGACCGACACAAGACAGAGACAAGACAGGGCTTAAATACACAGGGAGGAGTAATTAGGGAAAATGGCAGCAGGTGTGTGGGGTGAGGGCTGGAGGTAAGACAGGTGACAATAATTCATCTAAATGGGGGAAACAGAACCAAAGGAGGACAGATAAACCTAAAACACAAAAACTAAACCTAAAGACTGAGGGAAGGATTCACACATACACACGCTGACACACATAAACTCACACCTACATACACTGAACTGGGGAATGGACATGCATACACACACACACAAACACCGAACAGGGGCAGGACATGCACACACACACACACACACACACACACACACACACACACACACACACACACACACTAAGTTGAGGACAAAGAGGCTGGAGCTGACTTGGGAGAAATGATCTTAAAAGGGTAACAACATAAGACACTTTAACTGAGATGCAGACAAAAGACACATGTGGGCGCTATGAGACACAGAAGAGAATCTAGAGAGGGATGGAGAAACATCAGGAGACACATGAAGGAAGACGCAGATGCAGACCATGACAGATCCCAGCTGGACTTTTATAGACTTTCACCAAATTTTGAGAAATGTCAAACTGAACTCAGAATAGCAGGTTCACTGAGAATCAAACCTTTTTACTATTTTTGATGTATGATCGGTCCCTCTGAGCTTCTCATGCTGGCTGAACATGAAATAGTCTCCTACACCTATCTCCTGCAGTAGCTTCTGATAGAAAACAGAAGGTGAAACTCTAGGATTAGAAAATCCTGACCTACGCCACACTGTCACTAAAATACATGGACTCACCCATCATGGAGATAGTGCTAGGTAGGTAGAGCAGGCTGTCCAGTAATCAGAAGGTTGCAGGTTCAACCCCGGCTCCCACCAGAGAATGCTGCTCTTGTGTCCTTGGGCAAGTCACAACCCAGCTTGCCTGCTGGTGGTGGTCGGAGGGACTGGTGGCATCTGAGTTCAGCAGCCTCGCCTCTGTCAGCACGCCCCAGAGCAGCTGTAGCTACATTGTAGCTCATCCTCACCACCGTGTGAATGACTGATTGTGTTGTGAAGCGCCTTGGGGGTTATAGAAGCCTAAGAAGGCGCTGTACAAATACAGTCCATTTACCATCTTGGCTCACAACGGGGAAGGCTGTTGTTGGTTTAGCGTCCAGGCAACAGCAGAGAACGCCTCAGCCAGTAGAAGCTATTGCTAGCATTAGCATCTCCACCACACAGCAGAACTCCTCCATGCTTGTGTTATTTGTGGAGATAAAACAGAGTCGTGTTGCTGTTAGCCAATCAGAGGTGCAGTTGTTGATTAAATGTTAAAATGTTTCACATCATACGTGTGTGTGTGTGTGTGTGTGTGTGTGTGTGTGTGTGTGTGTGTGTGTGTGTGTGTGTGTGTGTGTGTGTGTGTGTGTGTGTGTGTGTGTGTGTGTGTGTGTGTGTGTGTGTGTGTGTGTGTGTGTGTGTGTGTGTGTGTGTGTGTGTGTGTGAGGTCCTGTACCTGAGCTAAAGCAGCTGGTTTAACCGATGGACACACATGGCTGCACCTGGAAGGCTGCGTGTCGGAAACATACGATGGCTTAATCCTAAATCAGGTTTCCCATGCAGATGAACTTTACTCCTTATAGCGTGAAACCCAAGAAAGGCCAGAGCGTCTCTTTATTTTGGAGCCCTTTGGACACAATGAGTTTCCAGTGACGTGGGCTCGTGACGTCCCACGGCGCCCCGCTCAGGTATTTTGGGAACTGAAAAGCTGCCTTTGTGCTGCTCCCAGGATGACCTGCTGAAAATATACCCACAAGGGCTGAAGCTACTGGATTTGTAGGTTTTATTCCTGTTGTAATTCCTGAGTTTTATTTTGAAAGAACAAACACAGCTGAAATGATTTGTGGAAGAATGATGAAAAGCCCTTTTCTTTTGTCAGGTTCTTCACAGGAGATAAAGTGAATTAGGCCTCTGGTCCGGTTGTGGTTCCTCTCTGGTTGATCAGACTCATTAGGTTGCTGGCGGCTCAGGTAGCTGTAGTTTACTGTTATTGGTATAAAATGCGTCATGCTTTCAGAGCTCACCTCTTCCTCGGCAGCAAGAAGTGGCTTCCTGCTGCCTCTTTGCGGCTGACACTTTGACATTCTGTAGGAAGTTGCTGAAATGAGACTTGACTTGAAATAATGACGATGTGTCTCTGTTTTGGTGGGACAGGCAGAAGCAGCTCTGAGCCAGTGGAGGACACGGACACCACCAGCTTTATGACAGAGATTGTAAGAAACCACTTCCTAATTCTCTCCTCCAGCCTTGACTTTGACATCTGCTCACTGTTCCAACTTGCTGATTGTCCAGTTTAATGATTTTTTTTTGTTCATGATTAGAAAGCCCTGTAATCTGAGTAAAGTGCCAGAACCAAGCAGGCCGTGCTGTGATTGTGAGCGCTGAAGGGCTCGTTTCAGAGCAAGTCGAGGCAGGCTGTTCTCCGTGTCTGCACACACGAGAGGCGTTTAGTGCCTGGGCTGCAGGCCGGGTCCACAGAGCTTCACACAAAGCAAACAGGCCTCTTCACTAACCTCGCCTTTGTCTCTTCCACAGTCGTTGGAGGCCAATTATCCTGTTCAAGTCACAGATCCTCACGGTAATACGACTCTCTGCTTCAGGGTCAAGCAGAAGGCTGCTTAGCTGCTAGTGACGCGACAGCAAAATGCTAAATATTAGGAAAGTTTCTTTCTACATCGATGTGAAACATGAGATAAAAGTTGCTTTTCTGACTTTGTTTCAAAGTCTGTGTGTTTTAGCCAGTTTTAAGAAAGTTTCTGTTAAAACTTTATAAATGATTTCACCCCTAGATGAACAGCCTCAGTCTGGAGAAATAGTCTGTGTGTTCCTGACACCTCAACGCTGTTCATTCATCAGAGCCCTGCAGGTCTTAACATAACACATTTATTCTTATGTAGTTTGGCGCATATCAGTGAATTATAATTTAACTTTCTTAGATGTTAAAGTCAGATTTTCTCGTGACAAAAAGTGATTTTAACGATGTAGGAAACAGGAAGAGTTAATAGGAAGTCCACTCTTCATACAAACCATGCCAACTTTATTAATAAAACACACAGAAGCAAAGTGCTGCACACTAACTTCACATCAGCACATTTAAACATGTATGCTTTCACATGAAAGTGAAGCCTGTTTCATCTTATTACCACCCAGCCTGAGGGGAAAAGTTCATAAAACAACATCCCATAATGCGCTGTGATGTTCTGGAGCGGTTTTAAGACGACAGCAACAGAGGCTGTTCAGGAAGTTGTCTCAAACATGCGAGATAATAATTATTTATGACTTTTGGAGAGAAAAACACTCCAGAAAAGCCCAAAACTCCTTTAACCACAGAAATCAAATGTTTTCTGTTTTTATCAGGTTAGGATAAAGTTTAGTTAGTTTAAAGTGAAACACTAATCAGGATGGACGAGAAGTGGAGATAAACTTTAAACCCCAAACAAGCAACATAGCTGAAGGAAACGTTAAAACCAACACGAGTGAGAAAAAGCTGCTGTGTTGTTTTAGACAAGCTGGGACTGGTTTTTCATCAGAGCTGACGGTAATGATCCTCCTGCAGATGCTGTGACGCTCCACCTCAGCTCCATGCCCTCCAGATACCTGAGCCCCTCCTCTGAAGACAGGATAAGACAGGTCAGTGGAGCAGCCTTTGATGCCTCCTGGATCCTCTCACTGAGCTCCAGAATCCAGAGAAAAGTAATCCGGCTTTCATGTGACGCTCCGCTCAGTCGTTCTCAAGCACAGAAACTCACCTGACATGAGTTACAGCAGCGGGAGAGGCTGGAGAGCAGTAGGGTAACAATAAATGACCCGCACCTGTGTAGCAGCTTTTAGAGTCAGAGGACTCCAGAGCGGTGGGAGACAGAGACATGATGGTGGCCGATTTGTTTTACACGTGCCAGGTGTTTAACGTCAGACAGTAAATCATTTATTATTAATATTTGGTGTCCAGATACTTCCTCTTTCATTCCATCTTTGTGTCGAATCAAATCAAAGATCGTCGGGAGACATTTAGGGCTTGGTTAGGCGTGACAAACATAAATACACCTAAACCTACCATCAGATATTTTGTTTCCTAATCATTCAGTGTGTTAATCCTAACATCTGATCATTTTAGCTTTTTGTGGTCCTCGTCTCCCCACCTGTCCCGACTTCACATCACATCTGCAGAACGGAGCTAGCAGCAAGATACTTGGATGCATTAAGTGTTTCGTCTGTCTGTCTGCAGCCGGGTGTTCGGCACAGCCAGTCTACCATATTTATTTTTGTAGAGCACATTTAAAAGCAGCATGTCAGCTGACCAAAGTGCTTAAACACAAAAGAGTAAATCTAATGCTAGAAGAGCCCTCACGATCAAAGAATACAAAACAGACTGTTAAATAAAATATGAAATCAACAGCGCAGCAGAATTTAAAGGCAGAACATAAAAAATGTGTTGCAAAATATGAAAGCAACTGAGAACGGGCAAAAGAGAATAAAACTGTAGAGTAAAAACAAAAATGTGTGAAAGAAGCTGCTTGGAAACATTGCAGAGTTCACATTTAACAAATAATCGTGCAGAATTTGTGGTTTTCTGTCTCAAACATGACACCAGCACATCTTCTGCAAGTCAGAGAATGAACCGGAGTGTGATTACTCTTTAATTTTAGCTGTGAGCTAACGGGCTGCGGTTTTGTTCTCTGCAGGATGTGAGTGTCGTTAATAACAGAGCAGAGGCAGGAGTGCAAAAAGAGGACTAACATCACTCCTCTGCGCATGATCCCTGATAAAAGAAACACTTAGAGGAAAAGAAAAAGTTATCAGCCGGAAGCTAAGAAGTGAATGTGTTTGTTCCAGTAGGTCTGATGTTCGGTTCCAGTCGCTGTTGGGCTTTGATGTGCCGGAGAGCTGCTGGGTTTGTGTCGAGACAAGTTTCACTGCAGCATCGAAACTTAGCAGCCAGCTCGGCTGACTGACAATACCCGTAGAACGTTATATATTTAGCCCAGGAGTTTATTTTAGCACCATTTTCTCCTCCGTGCTCACCTGTCCTCCGAGCTGAGTGACGCTTCTGCTTTGGTGGATCGGGTGTGCGCTCCAAGCGCTTCGGACCTGCGGTAAAGTCCCGCCTCCTAGTTCGATTGACAGCAACTTTCTCCACACAGTTTATGCAAGATTGAAACTGGAATTGGGAGGCTGTCAATAATGCGGGACATGAGTCTCAATTTGCGGGACGTGAGAAAAGTGATGAAAATGCGTGACTGTCCCGCACAACGCGAGAGAGAGTCATATCAACCAACACAGCCCCACCATGTCCAGAACCTTAGTGAACTTCAGGAAGTATCGTTTTCACCCGAGGGTCCTTTTTGACCACCTCAGAGATCTCATCATCAGATTGTAGAGCCCAACCCAAAGTCCAGATTCTGTGGCTGTCAGTCACTTCCTCTGCGCCACAGCTCCTGATCCACCAGATGACATCTCCTTTAAGTGCATTTTTCAAACAGGAAGTGTGGGTGGATGTGACGCTAGGGGGTTGAATGACTCTTTAATATATCAGAAATGATCATCGTGTATATTGAGAAGGTTATTATGGATTATTTGGAATGTTTTTAATAGAAACAATAGATTTGTAGATATTTTGAATATATATATTTGTAAAAACTGTTTAAACAGCCTGCCCTAAGCAGTGTGTAGATGTGCTCCTGCAGCACTAGTGATGGGGACACCCCTTTATATGTGAAACCATCAGCTGACTAACAGATGGCACAAACAATGCTTTTGTGTTATTTCCAGCAACAAAAATGATATTAAACATTGTTTCTCTCCCTGTCATTTTCTCTTTAACACTCATAACACTGGTAGGCTACAAAGCACACCTTGTTGTGACATTTGGGGTGGCACACTGACCATCGGAGTCAAAAGTACTCATGTTGTTGGGCCTTTGGAGTGAAAGAGTGAAGGTTATAGACGGGGCAGAAGTGGACTGGCAATCTGAGTTCTGGAGAACCCAAGAACGACCGGTGCTCTACTCCAAGCCGGTGGATGAATGCACCCCCACCGCCCTCGCGAGTTGGAAATCCCCGTCGGAGATCGAGCTGACTGCAGCAGCGATCAGACTTCTCCAAACCGCTCAGAGTTTGCTAATGATCCATATTTCTGTTTGGATATATGTCCAGCTCCATCTTCCTGCCTGTCGGAGCATTTAACCATTGAACCACCGGCTGTTCAGGTGCTGCTGCTGTCATTGCGGGAACGAGCACAGTGTTGGATAAGTCGCCTCTTTTTGTGTCTCCTCTGTGCTGACGGGGCTGAATGTGCTGTGCGTCTCACGGCAGTGATGCACCTTTGGCGCAAATTGTAGACCTTCATGGAGCGCGTGTCCGACGTATCGGGAGGCTGCGCTGGGCACGGACTGAGGATGTGGGAGGGACAGATATTTTTTTTTAGAACTCGAGATTTTGACTAATAAATGACCCGAAAAACTACCACTGCGCACCACCTAGAAAAAATTATTTAAAAAAGGTGTGCCGAGAGGTCACAGAGTTTGAAGTGGCGGTGCATGTTGCTGCAAACCGAACCCACAGCTTTCAGTCCATATATTCAGACTTCGGTCCATATATTCGGAAGTATTCTGGTATAAATATATAATAATTTCCTGAACGGCATGCCATATATATATATATATATATATATATATATATATATATATATATATATATATATATATATATATATATATGACATGCCACGTACCACAACCCAGCCAAGACCAGTTTAATATTTCTGTTTGATATTCACTGAAGCTCCGCCTCCATGGCTTCCACTTAGTTTGATTAGAAATGGAAAAAACAGATTTACATGTTTTCTGTGATTTTTATTGGACTGCATTCGTGTTTAAAGCAGATTATATGAAGCTCTGCAAACATGTGTTATTGTGTTTTTAGCCAGTTGAAGATGTGGAGGAATGCACCTGTCCATCATCTACTTCACCAGGTACGTCCGTTCAGTTCATTCTGTAAAAATATTCAGAAACGTTTACAGGAATTATTTGTGATGTTTTGATTTCATCCATAGTTCTGAAATAACATAAACACATCTGGTTGTTTCCAAACTTCACATAAAACATTTTACACCTCAACGTTGTTTCTTTCAGGTCTGAAGCAGTTTGTGAACAACCAGATCCACCTTTAGAGGAATAACAGGCTGTCTTTCATTTGGTTCTGGAGAGGTTCTAGTCCACTTCTCGCTAGCGTTGTTTCTGTTTGTTGTCTGAGGTTTGCAGACTCAGCCCCAGCGTCTCTGACTGGTTCTGGTCTGGACTTTGACCGGACCGCTACAGAACCTGGTTCTGTTGTAAATCTGCTGTTGAGTTTGGATCATGGTTCGGTTTTTAAACTGGTTTAGTCCAAGCAGCTGTCAGCCAGAGGGACTGACAGAGTTCATGATGGACCATGTGACTGCATGGAGCCCAAACCATCAGCCCTCCTCCCCTGTGCTGGTAGGACTGGAGTGGTTTTCTCTAAACCATGCAGTGCATTATGGGTAGGATTTCCACTCTAGGGCCACCTGTTTAGGGACATTGTTAGTCCCACCTGTCTTTCATATTTTTGAATAATGTTCTTGAGCTAGTTTGTGCCAACATGACCCAGGGTTACAGGGTTACAGGGTTACAGGGTTAATGAAATGTCACTCAGACCCCATCACCTCTGTGGCCAGAAGGCACACTTACAACTTCAGATTTGCTGGTCCGGTTCCTGCTGGTGGAGCTGTGGAGTGTGGCCGTCTGCTTCCAGCATGTTTCCTGCATGTTTTAGATCAAGAACACAGCTGATTTGTTTAATTTAGTGATGAAAAGCTTCTGTAGACACTAATGAAAGCTGGGAGACGTTTCATCTGTTAGATTAAGCTGTTAAAAAGACGAACGCACAGCGAGGAGGTGTTTCACTTTCAGTTAAACCACAGTGAATTAATAATGGACACTAGGGGGTGCTAAAAGTGTTCCTTTAAGGTGGGTTTAGTTCATCACAAACTGCTTCTGTGTTTTGACTCAGTTGTTAAAATTAAAGCAACACTGTGGAAAACAAGTTCTTTATCCAAAAAGAGAGGTTTTTCTAGGGGAGGTGTTTACGTTTAAACATGATGCACGACTCATTTCCTATTTTGAACCTTTTTTTGTTCTTGGTGCATTTAGACTGCCCCAAACAGCTGCAGCTACTGAACAGTCCCTGTGAAAAGTGCTGCTGTCCCGCCCCTCCTCCCAAGATCAGCGACCTCATGAACGACAAAGACCTGCTGGACGTACTGCGGCTCAAACTGGATCCAAACCATTGCACCATCAAAAACTGGAAGAACTTTGCCAGCCGCTGGGGGATGAGCTACGATGAGCTGACCCTGCTGGAGCACCGGACCCAGGGCTCCCTGTATCACAGCCCCACGCAGGAGTTCCTGCTGCGCTACAACCAGAAGACGGTCACTGAGCTCACCGAACTTTGTCGCTTCTATCAGCGCATCGATGTGCTGCGACTGCTACAGAGCTGGATAGAAAAGGACTGGCCCTCACGCTGGCAGCAGGCTCACTAACCTCTCAGAATCTCCGTATTTATCTTGTTTTTCCTGCTGGGGGGGTACATGTTTAGGAATTATTCTTGGACTCAAGCTACAATCCTTTTAGCTAAATATTTACTAAACATCTGGAAAACAAAACAACTATGAATGAACTGGAACCCAAGAGTTTCAGATAGACCCACAGCTAAGTGTTGATACTCAAGCTCTGAAAACGTTGTTCTCCTTTACTGATTCCTAAAAAAAAAAGTACATATGATTTATGTAGAGGTCCTAACATCTCATCTTTACTGACCACCGTTAGACGGGTTTAGAGAAATGTTGATTTATAAGAAGTTCTTGTGGTTACACTAGAATTACAGCATCTCATGAACAAAGCAGTCACATCTCCAGTGCTGGTCCTTCTCGACCGCATGACTTCCAGATCCTTCTCGACTTCCAGATCCTGACTGGTTTAGCTCATTCTTCATCACCAGCATTAGGTTTGTGTTTGTCCTCCTGCCTCTGGCACCACAAGTTCTCAGTGGGATGAAGGTCTGGGTAATTTCCTGGACCTGGATCAGCATGTAGAAGTTCAGGTCCTGATCCACTTAGTTCTGGCTAAATCCCTCTGGCCCGGTGCTCCATCATGCTGGAGAAGACATTGTTCATCGCCAGCTGTTGTTGGGTGGCTGGAGGAGCTCCTCTGGGATGATGTTTAGGTACCATTCTTTATTCATGGCTGTTCTGAAGCTGAACTAAGTGAGTCAACCTCCTTGGCTCAGCGCATTTTAGAGTTTATGCAAACAGCGGTTATTAAAACTGAGGCAGCAAACTTTGTGATGATTGTTGGTTTTATTTTTGTTTTGGCCTGGAGGTTAAAGCTGTTACCACTCAGCAGAGGTGACCTGAGGTATGCAGCTGTGAGGACTGCATATGAGCCGGTGTCTTCTGTCCATTCAGGTCCTGCTGTTCTGAAGCACGCTGCCGTTTGAACATGACTCAGTGAGTCACTCATGAATAAGTTAAAAACTCTGAAAAGTACCAACAAGTTGCATTTCTGATTTACCAGCGCTGCCATAAATATATATATATATATATATATATATATATATATAATATTTTTTCTTCTCTTTCTTGATGAAATAAAGATCATATTTGTACCCTCATGTGTAATTAGATGTATGGTGTTGAATGATCTGAATCAAAGCTTATCTGTGTAATTTACTTAATCATCTGGAAGGACACACTGCATTCTGTGCCAATGGCCTGATGCTTTTTGGGGTTACGTTTATTTGACCACAGCCTTCTAACCAATGGGACAAAACACGTTACAGTCATGTGACCTTTAATAGGTTAAGTTAGTGGGACCTCACAGACATTTATAAAACCGGCAAAGTTTCGATTTTTTTCTTGTTCAAAAATACAAGTGGTCTTAAAATTTTAAAGTAAACTTTTTTGGGAAAAATCTTATTAAATTTTAGTCTTCCTACATGAAACAAAAACTCCTCCGCATCGAGAGAAGCCAGTTGAGGTGGCTTGGGCATCTGGTCAGGACGCCTCCCTAGTGAGGTTTTCTGAGCGCGTCCAACCGGCAGGAGACCTAAAGGTAGACCCAGGACACGTTGGAGGGACTATGTCTCTCATCTGGCCAGGGATCGCCTTAGGATTTTCCCGGAGGAGCTGGCCCAAGTTGCTGGGGAGAGGGAAGTCTCGACTTAGGCTACTGCCCCCGCGACCCGACTCTGGATAAGCAGATGAAAATGGATGGATGGATAGATAAAACAATAGGACTGAATAGAATATTATAAAGTAAGAAGGCAGCATTTTCTGTAAGGAACTCGGGATGATATTGTTGCTCTACAGATAATAAACATACACAGCAACAATAAGCTTGTTTACAAAACAAATTATATTTGGTCCTGGTACCAACCATTTAAACCTGCAGTGCTCACATGTAACCGCAGGGGGCGCCATTGTCCAGAAAATACTACAGACTTCATGGAGTCAGCCACACATCATCATGGCTGGAGCAGGTGTCTAACTCCAGCAGGACAGGTTACACGATGAGTCTAAGACAGTTTCATGTGTTTATAACAACCTGTTTTCCATAAGTGTCATGTCCTCGTCAAGATTCAGAGCCTAGGAAGATGATTTGTTCGTCCAGTGGCTTAAACCCAATTGGGTGACAAATTGGAGCAATGTTGAGAGGGCCTCAAAAAATCCCAATCATCGATATAGACAAATGGTAAGCATCCTGTATTTGTATACGGCCATATAGGGTCCTATACCCCCCAGGGCACTTTACAACACAATCAGTCATTCACCCATTCTCACGCCGGTACTGTATATGGGTTTTGTCTGAATGTGATAACCATGAATCATTAGTGAACAATATGATCCAAGGAGATCAGTACTGAGATGAAGAAACCGCAGGGCATTCCTATACAACATGAATAACTGAGTCAAGGGGAAAAAAACCGACCAAATTAGTGTCTAATAACTGGTGTCAAAAATAACATTTCATGGGATCAGCAGCTCAGGAGGTAGAGCGGGTTGTCCAGTAATGTGGGCTCCATCCTGGCTGCATGTAGAGAATGCTGCTGTTTTGTCCTTGAGCAAGACACTGCTGTTGGTGGTCAGACGTACCAGTGGTGGCAATGACATACACTTGGATGGTTTACTTTGTGACGTGCCTTCCTGGTTTGGCACAAATTACATAGACAAATTGGAAATTGCTTGACAACTATTCTTTTGTGCCCTGGCTTCAAGTAAATTCTATCATCAGCAAGGATCAATAACGCAACTTCTACCATGGCATCTTAAAAGGACTTGTTAGGTAACCTTAAGAGACTCGCTGACTAGAGTCGGCTGTACTGACTGGTGGGCATGGGGGAAGGGGTGGGAAGAGCAGGTTTGGAATAAAATTATAAACAAGAAGTTTGTTGTAAAGTATTTGAATTGTGTTTAAAAATCCTAATAATAAAAGATTAATAACAAACAAGTTGAGTTAGATCAGTGGATGTGGCATCCTGAACCCCCCACTGCAGAAGATCCACGTCGTCCTCTGTTTTCACCCATAATGTCAGATCTCATCAGTTTTCATAACAACAGATGTAAGGGATGGGTCTAAAACCACCCAATGCTTTAGGCTCTTTAATCTTGGAAACCTGGACAGCAACCGCTTCCTTCCAACATTTCAGGACATGCCGAGTCTGTAAAATATGAAAAAGGCTGTAGGTCGATCCACAAGTAAAGCAGGAGTGTATAGGAGGTCACAGCCAGTAAAAAATGTGTAAAAAATATCAAAATCAGATAAAAGCTCCAGAACTGGATATGTTCCAAGTGTGTGTAAGCTCCGCCCACTCGGCGGATGAACCCAAACATCTGGCAGGAAAACCATCTTTCCCTGGTTTCTGATGGATTAAACATGAATGAAGAAACCAGGCCAAAAGGGACTGCCATGGCTTCATGTTACAGTAAGACAGCACCTTTATCACCTAGAGCTAGCCGTGTTAGCTGTTAGCTTTGTTAGCTCTGAAACGCTACAAGCTAAACACTTGTTCAGTAGGTGGAGGTGCGTTTCATAAACACCTTTACTGTTTACTTCCGTAAGAAGTTGCTGTAAATGAGACATTTCTAGTGCTAGCGCCAACATTTAGCTGCTAACTTGATGAAGCTAACAGTAATTGTTAAGGAAAGTTACTTTAAAGCAGTAACTAGTTACTTCTTCATTCAAAATGTAACTGAGTTACAATATTATAAAAGTAACTAATTACCAGGAAAAGTAATTTTTTACTACTTTTTAAAAATAAGAATATGTAAGAAAATATGTGTCCCTCCTCCCTTTTAACAGAACTAACATTTACTTTAAATTACTAAAATCAAAAGTGACTAAATAGACCTGAACATGATGACATGTATGTCCAGTTGTTAATTATAAAACTGGATAGTTGGAACAAATGGGTACTTCAAGGAGTGGTTGACTGAAAAAAAAAACATCTTTTACTGATTATCCCTGATTCTAACAGGTCCCTCTGACTTTTTTATGCAAGCTGAACATGAAAATAGTCTCCTACACCTATCTCCTGCATTCGATTCTAATAGAAAACAGACGGTGAAACTCTAGGATTAGAAAAGCCTGACAGATCTACGTCACACTGTCACGAACATTCATGGGCTCACCATCTTGACTCACGACGGGGAAGGCTGAACTTTATACATTAGATTTCTCCGACATAAACAGGGATGACACGCCCATATTGGAAACAGGTTCATTCACGAACATCTACCGACGGATGGCAGGCAGCTGCACCGTCAGCAAGAGAAAGCCTCTGTGATGGAGGAAGTCAGCCTATCTACAGCACCCGCTGCGGACGATCAGCTAGCTGATGACTGATTGGGGCTGCATGGTGGCGCAGTTGTTAGCACTGTTGCCTCGCAGCACGAAGGTTGCAGGTTTGAAACTCGGCTGCGGCCTTTCTGTGTGGAGATGTGTGTTCTCCTCATACATGCGTGGGTGTCCTCCGGGTACTCCGGTTTCCCCCACAGACCACAACATGCCCTATAGGTTATAAATTGTACTCACTTTGGATAAAAGCATCTGCCAAATAAACATAAACACAGTTTCAAGCAGTCATCCTGCTACATTCAGAAGTTTTTCAAAACCCTTCCCATCCTCTCCCGGACGGCTGGACAGACGGAGATAATCCAGGGCTGAATTATCGTTTCTGCCCATCCAGTTCAGAGACGGTAGCCATTTCACAGCGTCTCAACCCCAAAACAAAGTGAAAGTGAATTAAAATCATCTCATTAATTCAGAAAAACAGAACTTTTTATTTTTTGTGGCTGAAGTCAACACACTTCCATACTAAAGTACCAAATACTTTCAAATATGTCAAAACTTCACTTTACATGCCAATCATTTTAGTATTATTCCACTACAGATTTAAACAAGTCAAGACGTGAGGGTGGAGTGTGAGGATGACTCCTCACAGGTAAGACTCAGACCAGTTTGACCAGTTAGGCTTCACAGCAGATGCCGATAAGTTATTTTAGAGAGAAGATTTTAGCTGCTATGAAGAAATGTTTCACTTCAAATGAACAATTCCACTTGTCACTGCAACCCTCCCCTAACCTGAGGGTTGCAGGTTTGTGCCCCAGTTTGTGGCAGTCCTGTCCTTGGGCAAGGCATTTCACCCAGCCTGCCTGCTGGTGGCGGTTGGAGGGACCTGGTGGCAGCCCTGCCACCGTCAGCGTTCCCCAGGGCTGCTGTGGCTACACTGTGGCTCATCACCACCAGTGCATGATTGTGTGCTTTTGTGGGTGAATGACTGTAAAGCAACTTGGGGGGTTTCTAGGATTCCAGAAAGCACTTTATAAATGCAGGTCGTTTTCCATCTAAAATAAACTAATAAAACACTGTAACCTAATATCCAGCAGCAGTATCTGTTAAAGTCTCAGACGTGACTATCAGTAAAATAATCAGATATCTGAATAATTCTTTCATTCCTTTTGTGAAACAGATCAGGTCTCGTGGAGCCGATGTCTGACTGAATTGGGTGAGAGACGGGGGACATTGGACATGTCTACAGTCCATCGCAGGGACACAGAAACACAAAACCAGTCACACCCATCAGCGTGAAGCTGACCCCCCACCCACCTGAAAAGAACAAGTAGGCTGTCAGAGGTGGAAAGTAACGAATTACATTTACTCACGTTACTGTAATTGGGTAGTTTTTTTGTATATTTATACTTTTTAAGTCGTTTTTAAAAACTGTACTTTTACTTTTACTTAAGTTTTTTAAAAATAATTTTAATTCGCTACATTTTAAATCATATCCGTTACTGAGTAAAAATAAATTATAGGCTTAATAAATTACAAATATTACGTGAAGCAGCGTCGGAACGGAAATAGACACCTGCATGAGCGCCGCGTCTAAACCGTGGGGGGGTGGGGGGGGGTCACTTTTGCTCAAAAACATCAGTTCAGTCGATCAACTCGCTGTTTACCTCCTCTCCTCGTGGGTTGGAACCCGCACCTTTGCGCACCGGTGTGATGTCATCAGAATTCTGCTCGGTTCGGTAGCCAGACTCGGTTCCGTGTTTGAATTGTGTTTCTCCACCGCTCCGCATGGAAGCAGCAAAATAACGTTTAGCACTCATTACAAGCGGATTATCAGCGCTTTGCTCATAAAACAGAAGACCTGCAGGCCTCTGAGTTAAAACATCCTGATACTGTTCAGGTGTAAACATTGTGCTCCATCCCTGTGTTTGAACTCAGAAGATGCTTCTTGATGCCACAGATATGTGATGATTTAGCTTGTTTCTTTATTTTACTCCAGAATAAGAGGTTAAATTATTACTAAAGCAGTCCAGTGTAGTTAAATTAGTCATTCAAATGATTTGAACATGCTGCAGTGTGTGTGTGCGCGCGCACGCGCTTGCGTGTGCATGTGCGAGCGTGCGTGTGTGTGTGTGTGTGTGTGTTACACATATAGAACTGCATGAGACAGCGTGGTTTCATCAAATCCATGCATCTTATTTCTTGGCTGAAGTAATGGCTCAGGAAAATAACTTATATTTCATAAATAATGACATCTCAATAGTGTCTACGATAATGTTTTATCTTATCTTTGGTCTGGGAGGTGTAACATATCATGATACTAGCCTTTTAAAACATGTTAGTGTTACAAGAGGAGATGAATGCATAAATTTAAAGTTCATGTTTGGAGACCAACCTTCACAGTTTGGAGGCTCACGCTGGTGAGGAGACACCGTTAGTTCTAGTAACACCTGGGCTCCCAAGGCCTGTTCTGACAGGATGGAAGTTACGGGACCCTTAAGGATTCCAGATGGATGATTGGAGGATTATTTAGGAGGATTGGAATGAACAAACTGATTTCAGTGGTGAAGGGTTAAATGAGTGAGTGAACCCACTACCAAGGATGAACTCTGCTAACTTTAAACATCAGCTGCTCTAAATAAGCATGAAGGTCAGAGAGGAGCTCTAGGATGGACACGGATAAAGGAACTGTAATGTAGAGGTAAAGTAGGGCAGGGCCAACGTTAGCAGCTGTCATTCGGTCCATCTGAAATGTTTGACTTTCATTTTTTTTTTTTTTATCTTTTATTTTCATTTATTGACATTAAAATAAAAATACAATCAGAACTAAATTGCTGCAAGCCTAAATGAAAAAGGGGACAGAAAGAAGAAAAACTTATGTTGTCTGCCCCTTTTAACTAAAATAGCATTAATACAAATGAAATAATCATATGATTCTTAAGGAAATTGAACAATATAGTTCCTGGACCTGTTGGCCGACAAAATCTCAACCCATGAATTTGAGAAAAAAATAGAAAAAGAAAACCATTTACACAGAAAGAAGCATTAAGTTACAGATCTATATACATACATATGTACACATACAAGCACATACTAGGTTAATATTTTGTTCCTTTAATCCCCCCCACCCCCCTCCCCTCACACATTTATGTAACGGATCTATATTAGTTAATCGTTTTATTTTTTATCTCTTTTTTGAAAGTCAATATTGTTTTTGCATTCTTGAGTTCAGTATTCAATTTCTTCCACATTTAGCTTGTTATGTGACAGGTTAGAGCACAGTCTCATGTTAGAGTTTTGTCATGAGAACAATGAGATACCTCACATGCTGATGGCAACTAAAAAATTATTTTTCCTCAAAATAAAGAATAATTTTAATCACAATTGAAACTTACCATCCTAGAAAAAACTCGTCCAATCAATGTGCACGTCCTGTTCTCACTGATTGGATAGAAATCCCTCCTTCAAGCTGATTGTGTGTGTATGTGTGTGCGCGCACACACACGAGCGAATTGTGAACTGGCGTTGTGATTTAGCACTACTTAGATGTAGCCATCCTTACGCTGACAAAAATGTAACTAAGTAACTTTTACTTTGAGTACATTTTGTTTATGATACTTTTTACTTTTACTTGAGTAAAAATTTAGGCAAGTACTTTTACTTGTAATTGAGTAAAAAATTATCAAAGTATTGGTACTCGTAATTAAGTAGGGCATTTTAGTACTCATTCCACCTCTGTAGGCTGCGCGGTTAGTGCTTCCTTTGTGCAGATTTGTGCAGGTACGATTATCGTTTGTGCTGCTTCGGTTTCTGAGATGTTACAACTAATTTCATAAGTCATTCAAAGGTCACCATCCCCCCGGAGTGCACCAAAACAGTCTAAAATAGTCTCATTTCTTAATGCTTCGTTCATGCTGCTGCAGTTCCTGAGATATTACAAGTTTTACTCTGGGGCGATGACGTCACCATACCCCCCAGGTCGCTTCAAAATGAACCGGACCGGTCTAATTTCTTAGTCCTACGTTTGTGCTCCTGTGGTTTCCGAGAAATTACAGGTTTTGCTCTGGGGCGATGACGTCATTGATGCAGACCGCTATTGTTCGTCCGTTGTAAAAATGTTGATGGAAATGCAGATTGTTCTGTTTTCAATAGTTTTTGTTTTTAAAATAAGTTCTCACAGGTGTCTGGGGTTCAACTCCTTCAATTATAAAAATGAATTAGATTATTGAACATTTAATAAGGCGTGTTTATTTTTTTATTTTGCAGAACTTTATATAACATTTAAGTTCAAAACGCAGTCATGAAAAAAAATTTAAGCATTTTCTCCGAAACCGTAGCGGCACAAACGAAAATTTTACTTGCACAAACGACTATTTTGGTCTGTTTTGGTGCTCTCCGGGGGGGATGGTGACATCATCGCCCCAGAGTAAAACTTGTGATATCTCAGAAACTGCAGTGGCACAAATGAAGGACTCAGACATGAGACTATTTTGGACCGTTTTGGTGCACTCCGGGGGGATGGTCACCTTTGACTTATGAAATTGGTTGCATTTCATGTTGTTAAATCTTGATCCTTGGATAGAAAACTTTGTGCTGGTTTTTTGTTTTGTTTTTGTTTTTGTGTGATACCAAGCAATAATTTCACCTGCACAAAAGCACTAACCGCGCAGCCTATTTGCTTGTACTTTTCAGGTGGGTGGGGGGTCAGCTTCAGGCTGGTGTCACACCCCCACTCTCCAGTTAAGCTAGCACGAATGGTTTAGGTCTGTGGAAGGAAAGCAGAGTACCTGGAGAAATCTAAGATGGGTGGTAGAAAACAGGCCCACTCCACACAAATGCTCCAGCTGGGGTTTGAACCAGGGACCACCTTATCACATTTGTTCATTTAAAATGAAAATTTTATTGTAAAACTCTGAGAAAATTTAAAATCAGACAAAATGTACAAGAGAAACTGAATCCAAATACAAATGGATGAAAAAAATGGCATCATTTGTCTCGAGAACGGTTAAGCGATCTCAAATGTTGGATGTGGAAAAGATGTGTCATGTTCGGCTTTTTGTTTTTTATAAAATGGATGATTAGGATGTTTGATAAGTGAACATTACCAACATATTACCATTAGTTATACATTCACAGGAACAATGAAGTAATTTGAGGAATTTATTGAGCAAAGATTTACAAACACATTCACTCACACACACACACACACACACATCTTCTAAGCTTACAAAATGTTAAAATTAAATCAGAAACTTCAACAGCCCACTTTGATCTTCGATATATGTACTTAGAAAAAATGAAAATGTTTAGAAAATTGGAGCTGATATAAATAATATAAACATAGCTTACATATAAAAACTTGCTTAAAAAGGATGAATTCATAACAGTGGGGGGTTTGCTTTTTCCACATTTCTGACCTTTTGAATACAAACTAAGGTGTGAAACTGACCACAGTACAGGTTTATACAACTTTTCTGAGCAGAAGCTAAAATTTTCAGGTTTATCTCATTAGATTCAGACATCTGAATCATCATCATCAATCTTAAGACCAAGCATGTTGGAGAGGCTCAGGGATAATTTCTTATTCTCATCTGATGCTGCTGAAGCTTCTGGAGCATCCAGGCCCAGCACAGACTTTAGATTTTCAGTTTTGAAGGGTCCTCCTATTTTAGGTGCATTTCCTGCAGAGGCGCTGGCGCTCAGACTTGGGTTTGCAAGCTTAAGATCTGGGTCATTGTTGCCCTCAGTTTGAGATGCATACATTACTTTTTCCTTTGACGTTTTCAATATTGCCATAATGTCAATCTTGTTCCCCGCTTTTGATGTTGTATTAAGCACTGGCAGTCGGACGCCTTTGCTGATAACAAAATCTTTTTCCTTTGAGTCAGGTTTGGATAGGCCTAAGACATCAGGTAGTTCTCCAGTTCCATCAATGCTGTGTGAGGGCAGTCTGTGTAACTTGAATCGTGGGATTTCTGGAGTTGATATTGAAGCATCTGCATGATCATCTCCTTCCTCAAGATTTGCGTCAGTATTATCCACTTTAGCTTCCTTTTTAGCTCCAAAAATGTTTTTTATCTGGGGGAAATTGGACTTCTCTGTATCAGCTTCAATTTCTGAAGATTTAATATCAATGTTGGGTCCTTGGGCATCTTCCTTCAACTTTGGTGCATTTAAATGTACTGCAGGAACAGAAATGTTGGCTACAGAGTCAATTCCAGCCTCACCTGAGGCACGAATACTGGGAGATTCTGCATTAGGGCCTGAAAGATCAAGGCTTGGTACCTTAAAATGAGGCATTTTGAAGTCACCAAGGTTTGTATCCAACTTTAGATTTGGTGTTTTTACCTGTCCATCAGGTCCTCTGAGGTCAGCTTGGGGCAGGTTAATATCTGCATTTGGAGATTTCATTGTGGCATCCATCTTTAGTGCTGACAAGTTGAGATCTGCATTTGGTAGATCCAGACCAGGCCCCTTTACATTACCCTTGGGCAAAGTAATGTCTGTGCCTGGACTTTTTAAGTGTGGTAGGGCTATTTTAGTTTTGGGGCCTGAAAGATCAAGATCTGGTGCTTTTAGATTGGCATCAACATCTAATTTAGGCAAGTCTACAACTGGTGTTGAAAGATCTGCTGCAATCAAATCCGTCTCAGGCACTTTAAGGTCAGCATTTGGTACATTGACATCAGTGTCAATGTCAGCTTTTGGTCCCTTTGGTGTGCCAAGTTTGGGCTTCTTTAAGTTGAACCATTTGGTTTTTCCAGAAGGACTGCCAACATTCAAATCTGGAGCATCAATATCAATCTTGGTGCCATCCAGTTCTGCTTTTGGTAAATTTAAACTGGCATCTGGCGTGTTCATCTTACCATCAATCTTTGGAGCAGAGAGATTTAAGTGAGGAGCTGAAACATCGGCGTTTAAATCAGCATCCAGACCATCAACTTTTGGTGCAGAAAAATTGGCCTTTGGTGCGCTCAGATTTACTTCAGCCCCTTGAAGATCAACATCTGGTACCACCGGGTCAGTGTCAATGTCAGCTTTTGGTCCTTTTAGTGTTCCAAATTTGGGCTTCTTGAAATTGAACCATTTGGTTTTTCCAGAAGGACTGCCAACATTCATATCTGGAGCATTAATATCAATCTTGGTGCCATCCAGTTCTGCTTTTGGTAAATTTAAACTGGCATCTGGTGTGTTCATCTTACCATCAATCTTTGGAGCAGAGAGATTTAAGTGAGGGGCTGAAACATCAGCGTTTAGGTCAGCATCTAGGCCATCAATTTTTGGTGGAGAGAGATCGCCTTCTGGCCCTTTGAGGCTAGCTTTAGGTGCCTTCACTGTACCAGTTTTTGATTTCTTGAAGGTGAACCATTTGTGTTTTCCAGGATGAACGCTGACATTTGCATCTGGAGCATCAACATTTAACTTGGGGCTATCCAGTTCTGCTTTTGGCATATTTACGTTTACATCAGGGGCATTAATGTCCCCATCCATCTTTGGAGCTGAGAGATTGATGTCAGGAGCTGAAACATCAGCATTTAAATCAACATCTGGGCTGTTTACCTTTGGCCGAGCAACTGCCGACTTTGGCTTTTTAAATGTGGGCCATTTAATTTTTCCAGATGGGGACTCTAGGTCTACATTTGGTGTTTTAACTTTAGAGTCAACTTTAGGTAAATTCACATCTATATCTGGTGATCTGATCTCACCATCTACTTTTGGGCTTGAAAGATCAACATCTGGTGCATTGAAACTACCATCCACATCAGCTTTTGGTCCTTGAATTTTGGGTTTTTTCAATTTTTGATGAGGCCAATTGATTTTTCCTGAGGTAGAATCTACATCAAGATCTGGACCGTGAAAATCTACATCAGGGCCTGTGAGGTCAGCCTTTGGGAGATCCAACTCAGCTTTAGGAACATTAATGTCACCCTTGACGGTTGGAGCTGTGAGATTCACATCAGCTGTATTTAGGTCTCCTATATCCAAGTCTGTTTTGGGACCCTTAACTTTGGGCTTTTTCAATTTCCAGTGAGGCCAATTTATTTTACCAGATTGAGATTCAACATCAGCATTCAGCTCAGGGGCTTTAATGTCTGTCTTTGGCGTATTAATGTCAATCTCTGGTGCATTCAGCTCACCTTCTGCTCTTGGAGCAGAAAGTTCAACTCTTGGTGTATCAATGTTTGCATCTACAGCCAGATCATCTTTAGAACCATGAAATTTTGGTTTCTTCCATTTTTTATGAGGCCATTGGATTTTACCAGACGGGGCATCAACATCAAGATCAGGGGTCTCAGCATCTACATCTGGGCCTTTGAGGTTGGCTTTTGGCAAGTTGACGTCAACATTTGGTGCGTTCAAATCACCTTCGATCTTTGGTGTGGAAACTTTGACATCAGGGGCTGAAAGATCCGCATTTACGTCAGCATCTGGTCCTTTAACCTTGGGGCCTTTGAGTTTCCACTTGGGCCAGTGGATTTTACCAGACGGGGCATCAACGTCAAGATCAGGGGTCTCAGCATCTACATCTGGGCCTTTAAGGTTGGCTTTTGGCAAGTTGACGTCAACATTTGGTGCGTTCAAATCACCTTCGATCTTTGGTGTGGAAACTTTGACATCAGGGGCTGAAAGATCCGCATTTACATCAGCATCTGGTCCTTTAACCTTGGGGCCTTTGAGTTTCCACTTGGGCCAGTGGATTTTACCAGACGGGGCATCAACGTCAAGATCAGGGGTCTCAGCATCTACATCTGGGCTTTTAAGGTTGGCTTTTGGCAAGTTGACGTCAACATTTGGTGCGTTCAAATCACCTTCGATCTTTGGTGTGGAAACTTTGACATCAGGGGCTGAAAGATCCGCATTTACATCAGCATCTGGTCCTTTAACCTTGGGGCCTTTGAGTTTCCACTTGGGCCAGTGGATTTTACCAGACGGGGCATCAACGTCAAGATCAGGGGTCTCAGCATCTACATCTGGGCCTTTGAGGTTGGCTTTTGGCAAGTTGACGTCAACATTTGGTGCGTTCAAATCACCTTCGATCTTTGGTGTGGAAACTTTGACATCAGGGGCTGAAAGATCCGCGTTTAAGTCAGCATCTGGTCCTTTAACCTTGGGGCCTTTGAGTTTCCACTTGGGCCAGTGGATTTTACCAGACGGGGCATCAACGTCAAGATCAGGGGTCTCAGCATCTACATCTGGGCCTTTAAGGTTGGCTTTTGGCAAATTGATGTCAGCATTTGGTGCGTTCAAATTACCTTTGATCTTTGATGTGGGGACTTCGACATCAGGGGCTGAAAGATCCGCGTTTAAGTCAGCATCTGGTCCTTTAACGTTGAATTTGCCAGAAGGTGCCTTAAAATCAGCACTTGGTGTTTCTAATTTTACATCAGGTCCATTCAAATCTAAATCCTGACTTTTGTAATTTAACTTAGGAGCTGATCTATTGAGATTTGGTGCCTCCAGGTTTTCACTGACAGAAGGGAGGTCTACAACTCCAGATAGCTCCTTTTCTGGTTTTGGTTTTTCACTTTGAGGCAGAAAAAACTGTGGCATTGTAAATTTGGGGGCATTGTACGTGTCTGTTTTAAGGTTTGGCTTCTCAATGTTAAGGGAAGCATTTGGAGACTTGATCTGTGGAGTGCCACCTAAATCTGCTTTAATCTCTGGCCCTTTCAGTCCGGTCAGTGTAGAATCAGCTGATGGTGTTTGGACACAGAGTTTTGGAGGGTCTCCATTGAGAGTAGGACCACTTATTTTACCACTAATCCCATGTTCAGCATTTAGCTCTCCGCTTGAGCCATTGATGGAAACAGATGGTGCTTTCGCTGATGCATCCAGAGAGAGATCCTTCTGCATCATCTGTAATAGTATATTAAAAAAGTATATTAACAGTTAAATTTTTGTATTTTATAGATTAGACAGTGAATTTGCTCTGCCATCCATATTACGCTTAAATCCACTGTTCTGTATCAAATTCAAATTAACAAATACTTAAATAATCCCAGAGGGAAATTAAGTATTACTTTACCTAGCCTCATTTTTAGTGGTATATGACCAAATGGTTTACTAGACTCACTCTTTTTAAATGAAAAAAATGTGCCAATTTATGTCAAAATGATTCATCACTGTTTGCAAATTGTGACTTCACCGCAGTGGGAAGAGTCTTCAAGATTTTCCAGAAATATTGGTGATACCAGTTGGTGTTGTATCTTATGTTGTTTAAAAGCCTGAGAAATTACCTTTACTCTGACGTTAAGCCATGCTGCTAGTCTTGCATATTTTTTGGTTTCAATGATTGTTCATTTCAGATAAACCGAGCATTTGATGCAAACTCAACCAACTCTTAAGTTTACCCCTGTAGAGTTGAGTCCCAATCCCAAAGAACCAAGTCCAGCACTGGCACTCAAATCCTTCGTTGTCAGGAGCTTCATGTTGTTTTCATATGGCTTCAGGGCCTCCAGGAGAGTCTTTACCTCATTTTTCTCAAGGTTTTTTAGATTTATAGTGGCTGCAACAAAATCTTCCTCTGAAACAAGAACAAATTTGCATTTTTTTTTACTACAGATATTGATTAGAGTTTGTAAAAGCCACATCACTGACAGTTTCCTCCCCTCACCTGCTTGCTGGCCAGCTTTAGCAGAAGTTGTGTTGCCTGCATTTCCAGTCAGCACAAGTCCTGCCCCAGAGCCACCCAGAACCAGGTTCCCTGAAGCACTTTTGCCATCTTCACTCTGTTAAAAATGTCAATATGAAGCAAATAAAGACAAGTTTACATTATATTTGTACATTTCCATTGTTAATAGTTCATTTTTTTCCAGTTGTGTTTGACTCAGATTTTTTTGTACTTACCATTATTTCTCGTGTGTGTTTTCATCCACATCAAGAGATTAATACAGAAAAAGCAGGAGACTGGGACTCACACTACAGTAAAGTCTCTGTAACACAGCAAAGAAAAGTCGTGTCAGCTAACACATATGTACAAATAAAAGGCTCACCGTAGTGGTGTGCCAATTCACTTTCGCTCCACCGATTCAAGATGGTTGGAAAAAAGAAAGCAGCTACGTTTGTTTTTTAGCTTTAGCCACTGAGCGGGATTTCATCGTCAGGATTTAATGACTTATTTAAGCGGTCACCTGTAAATGGTGGTGAAGATGAAAGTGTTTAAGCTTTTGGCATGAATGATGTCCATGTATGGCTAAGAGGCATTTTCAGTTTCTCCCCACCAGTGTTAGCGTCACCCTGACTTGCGCCGTTTTGAAGTTGAGCTTTCACACGTTCACCACACCTAACCCTGAACCCAGTCAGAAGGCAGAGAGCATGCATTTAGCCACCACAGAGGAGAACATCTCAACAAGGAGATGGCCACATTCCACCTGCCATGACTTTCACGCTGGTGTTTACCTGGTTACTTAAAGAGCAAGTCACCCCCTAAAAGAAACTTCCTTCACTTCCTCTTCATGTTTGAAAAATGCAACAAATGCCCTTGCCTAGCAGACCAAGAGGGCGGAGCCGCTAACAAATACACACACACAGGCTCACAACGGCATTGTGACATCATAATGTACCAGTTTACATCATAGCATACCCCTTAGCCAATAGCGGTGGCAGATTTAAATTTAAAAACAGTGCAGAGTTTTTACCTGACGACGGCACAACACTGACCGTTAGGCAGAATATTTAAATTTTAACTAAGATGCACTGAATTACCAAACTATTGACTACACGTGTCTGCAGCACAATTACACACATTTATATAGTTTATCAGCAAAAAAATAAATTGATTTGGGGGTGACTTGCTCTTTAAGATGAAACCTCTGGCTGTAAACACATGAATAATAATGGATTCATCTCATGCTAAAACAAAACTGCTGCTCATTTGTCTGTTTCAGAGGCTTCGTATGTTAAACTATTTTCCAACTAGGAAAATGCATTTGTATATTTATTGGTTGTAATTTCTCCGTATGTTCTAGCGTTGCTAGGATAAGAGTACATGATACCGTTTAAAAGTAAATGTCTCCACCATACGTTTGTACGGGCCTTCTCTCGTTTGTAACCAAGAGGCTTTTATAGCGGATATCATTAGCGATAGCAATAATATGAAATGCCAGCTGGAAATATGAAAGCAGTACATGAAAACCTCACTGACCATCTGCTATCCTACCTGTATGCCTCGTTATTTACCTGCTCTGAGGCTCAAAACACCCAGAAATCTGTCTGATCTCAAGAATTCAAACCACCCGACGGGTTCGCTGGCTGGAATGTGCTCATCTGAACCAGTTGGTTAGGATGCATACAGACTGACACACTCACAGCCCTCCCTTCGACCACACCTTATCCTTGTACGGAAACACTAATGTCACATAAAGCCACGTTGATAAAGGGGGTCGCCTTACTGGGTAAAAAAAAAAAAAAACAAGTATGGAAACCTAAGAAAGATTCAAACAACTGAGTCTCCAGTTCACAATGAGGACAAACAACCATGAGGTGAAATAGCTAATAAATGGTTAAATCCACTGGCCCTAATGGCAGAAAGAAGTTCTTTACATGCATGAATAATAACGAATGAATGAGTGAGTGAATACATCTAGGGAGAGCTGCAGAGAACGATTAGAAGAGCCAAGGAGAATCCACGGGTGTTCCCGATTTCCCACTTGATGGTAAATTTAGGAACTGAACTGATCTCTGCTTCCTCATACCAGACAGCATCAGAAATGTTGACAGAAAATAAGAGTCACAAGAAACCTAAACCGGTGCGTCCTCTGAAAAGTCCTCGCAACACCCATACAACCAACGCAGCACAACACCGTAGGGTGAGAGTTGAAATCCCAGATATCAAGTCTCCGACAACAAAACAGGGTTTCAGTCATAAAAATGTAGGCAGTCTAGGATGCTAAAGCTGTTAACCTTCAACATTTATGGAAACATCTCAGCTGCACTTTTAGACCCAGAAGACAATCCTAGAGTCAGGATTGTTCTGGTCCAAGTCTCGTACCTGATCAAAGCTGCATATTCATGCAGATCCTCTGCTACGGAATATTTTAAATAAAAATTAAAAACAAAGTTTAGATTTTACACCTGTTCTGCTCTTTAATTCTAGTTAGCTCCCAGTTTTATACACCACCACAATTATTATTCTAAAAAAATAGCCGATAGAAGCATCAACCAAAACACCAGCAGAGCCATATTTTATGTAGGACACTCACCAGAAACTGCAGCCAGTGGAGAGATGTCTACGCTTCAGAGAAGCTGTGTTTCTGCTGCACCCAATGACAAGAATCTCCTTTTAGAGTCTGGAGAACAGGTTTGGCAGCATCAGGACCGCCTCTCCACATCACACACACACACCAGGATTTGGGACTGGAGCAACTGAAACCTGACTAGATAGCTCGAGAGAAAGATGTTGCAAAGTGAAACATTCCACTCCTCCTCTAACAGGATTAACCAGGCCAGAGGAGCAAATAAAAACCAGGACAGGAAAACAGAGGCTTCTCCTCCATTTTCGACATGTTAGATTTACTGAACCTCTTCATTTCCACGCTATAAACGGCAATCAATCCAGCAAGAGTCACTCAATTCATCACGGACCAGAAAATGGTGACTTTTCAGGCCTCATTTACCACATTGTGACTCACTTGACTTATGAGTAGTCCACTATCATTACACTCCAATGTTATTACCGTGGTTCAACCATGCAGTTTATAATCCAAGTGCTTGTGAGCACAAGTCAGTGACATGATCACTGAAGTATAACAACTTTAGTTGCTGATCTTGATAAAGTACAAGAGGTGTCTCTCCAGAACAGCAACATCCTGGTACCACCGTGTACAACACTAAGAAGTTGGTTTTTATTGTTTAATACGGCTTTAACAGTTTTAGTTGCAACAAACCCACGTTTCCCTCACCCCTCTTAAGTCATCCCAAGTGTCAGAACACCCTCTGATCTTTTCCATCACTAGCATCGAATCTGGTTCAATTCAATTCCAGTTTATTTATAAAGCACCAAATCACGACAAGAGTCGTCTCAAGGACCTTCACACAGTAAACATTCCAGTACAGGTCAGTTCATTAAGCCAATCAGAAAAAAGTTTCCTATATAAGGAACTCAGCAGGTTGCATCGAGTCACCGACTAGTGTCAGAGTTTTTACAGCAATCCTCATACTAAGAAAGCATGCAGCGACAGTGGAGAGGAAAACTCCCTTTTAACAGGAAGAAACCTTCAGAGGAGCCTGGCTCTGTATAAGCAGCCATTGGGGATGGAGAACACACACACACTTTCTGTGGTTACATTGTGACTTCTTAGTAGATATTCTATTTAGCGAGAGATAAACTTTATTGTATTTATCCTAGTGAGTATAATTAAACGGGTAAACTAGTAGTAGCACATCCAACATCAAAGAGTAAAATATTATTAGGAGAGGGAGAATGTTTATAGGTTAGCACCAGTGTGCAAGCCGATGGCCCCCTCCATGAGGGCACCAGCCTAACTAACCCTAACCATACAGAAGATCTGGTGTGGGCATCTGCGTCCGAGTGTCCAGCAGACGAGACAGGGATTTGTTTGGGACATGGAGCTTGAATGCACATCACTTAACACACAACCCATGGGATTTTAGTTCATTATGGTGATTGTTCAGCAGATTCTCAGTTTGGAGCACGGAAGACTATTTGGCAGCCAGTAATCAGATTCTTGAAAAGGGATATTTTGACGTTCAAGTATAACTTCTCATACTTTTTCTGATCTTGACCAAGAACTTGGTTTTATAAATGAAGCTTGGAGGTGAAACAAGCAGGGAAAGATGAACAAATACTCGACACCAATGTTTCCTTTACCAGAACTTCAGGGTAAATGCAGCGAGGGGGAAATCGACCGGGCGATACGAAGGCTCGGTGTCCTGTCTCCATTTACAGTTTGGCCCTTAAGGAATGTGCTAAAATGCCAGCATATCCCGACCGCTGCATTGTGAATTACATCACAGATCAGCGCAGAATGCTCCAACAACTCGTGTTTTCCTACTTCCCCTTACAAAGTCATTTCCGACCAAGTTACAACAAATCGGCGGCATTCCCGCCCACCAAGTGCACCGGGCCTTTTACCGGGTCACTCCGAGTACCTACCTCTGAGCAGTTACTCAGAAGGGCGTAGAAAACAACCGTTCAGCCGGCCTGGTCAAGTGGAGACGCGGATTTCGGGAGGTTTCCGTGAGTTTAGCCTGATTCCTGAAGTCCTGGTCATGGAAACAGCTATTGAGTCAGAGACAAGAACTGGTTTAAGGATGATTTTGTTGAAATCCACAAATGAATAAAAACTTTTTAACATGCACTCATGCTATTCATTTGCTTGCAGAGCAATTGATTTTTAAACATTCTTCGTTCCTGCCTCACCACTAAAAGCCCCTCAGGGACCTAAATAAGTTCATATGAATACCTTAATCAATTACTTAATTCACAACTAGCTTCCAGACAAAAATGTGCACAAACACACAGAAAGCTAGTCAGAATATCAGGATGAACTCGGGTGTAAACGTTGCAGAGATCTAGGAATGTAAAAGACTTAAGAGTAGATATGCTCAGAAACCTCATTGGCAAGCTCTTTTAATATTTAAACAACTGTATCTCTGTCATTAATAGTCTTTACATAATCTATCCTGGTCTAAATAGTTACAATTCATACAAGTCTAAATTTTAATGGCCATGGAGAAACGGTTTGATGTGAGAAAAGCTGGTTTGAACAGCTGTAAAGATTCAACATCGTTACCAAAAGAAGTGTGAGTCACTCACCACCCAACCCATCCAACTGGATGTGATTGCTGTTGGCAGGAGATGCTGAACAGGGTGTTACCAGTGAGAGATCATAGCTCAACAATGAGCAACACTAACTAGTGTTCATGTCTGAGTAACCTGGAGACATTTGATCTGCTACAAAGGAGACGTACCTGCTGCATTCTTCAGCCGTGACTTTAACGAGTCTTTAAACACCCGAGCTTCAGCGCTTTACTCCCATCAGCTCCATTAACCAGCAGGTTCACTCTTTTTGACCGTTCAACATTTTAACTCAACACTGAGAAAAACTAACTTTGTAGATTAACAAGTTTTAGGAGTTAGAACAACTGATGACAAACCAACAGTAGTCAGACTTGTTGCATCCCAAAAATCTAGCTTAAGGTCTCAAATCTGAACGCGGCTTTTACTTTGAGGTGTGCTTTAATTTTGAAAGCACCCTTCTATCTAATAGTGTCTGCTCTGCAGCAGTGATGCTTTGCAAAGGTAAACAGGAGCTAAGACCTGAAGCTTCTCAGAAAACTTAAAACATGTAAAACTTTAATCTGAATCCACTGACCCGGCTCATCATTTAGCAAACAGAAGCATACACAGAGACCCTGTCAACCTTTTGGAGGGGGTTTAGAAAGACCAGTGTTTGCTTGTTTCACTTTAGGTGGAAGCCTAACTTTGCCCAAGAAGAACCAAAGGCCTACTCAGATCTGCTCTGTGACTACCTCCACCCACTGAAGGAGATCGTTACTTTGAAGGTTCCCGCTAAGCTAGAAGCTAAAAAGAAACCAACACAGAGACTGAAAGAGAAGAAGCACAACCAGCTTGTCAATCCATACATCTCCAAACACAAAAGCCTCAACCCTTCAGACCCAAAGTTTCCGATAAAATCTTCATCAAAACATGCTGTCCAGTTCAGCAAAGAGGGAGAATCACATGGCAACTTTAACACCTGAGAGGCAACTCATCAGCTCAGCACTCCATCATCAGGCTGCAAGTCTGCTGACAGTTATGCACGGACCAGGACAGATTATTAGCTGGCCCTCTGCACCAGGATTTATACTGTTCCATTGCTCTTTTGGGACCTCCCTACCTCCTTGTGCCCAGGAGCAGCAGACCCATTTGTCCTCCCTTACCAGCGGGCCTAACTGGCTGCACCTGACTGGGTAACAGACTTCTGTTTGGTGGTGTTGAGGTGCTGAGACAGACTTTGGAGTGACTTAAAAAAAAAGACTATTTAATAAACAGAATCAAAAAACTTACATGGATAGAGAGAGTTGAGGGCACAATAACAGAGGAACCAGTGGGGAGCAGCAAACACAAGGAGCTTTATGTCCAAAGGAGGGAGTGGAGAAGGAGACGAGTGCAGGTGTGACAGGGAGACAATCAGGCAAGGCCCAGGTGAGCTGAGTAAGACTGATAAAGTGTCTGAGGGGAAGAAAATAACCAGGACACGGGGAAAAGATGGTTGATCTAAACATGGACTGGAAACCAAAAGGGACAAAAACCTTTGAACTGGATTCAAGAAATGAACAAGAAATGATATGAAGACCCCAAAACACACAAACACCCACTTTGCAAAGAACAAAAACGTGAGAAAAAAGAATCTGCACTGAACAAAAACATTCCAAACACGTATGTAAGAAATTATTTAAAAAGATGCGATTGAACTTACAACATTTTAAAAATGAAATACAATGAAAATATGTGCAGATTATTATGTGGGGTGAGAACATGAATGGAAAAATGTGCAAATGAGAAATGATTGAGTGCAAACAGAATAACAATGACGTACGTGCTTCCTGTACTTGCCAAAATAAAATAAACTTCTCATTGACACAGTCTCTGGTTTGTGCAGCAGCATATTTTTCGGAGCATTCTTACGGATCTGCGCTCCTGAAGTTTAGTGTGAGGTCTTCTTCGATGAGAAGGCAGGCTGGACACCTTAAGGCTTATTGTTGCCACAGCAACACTAATTCCACAGCCAAGCAGTTACAGCCCGCCATAGACCCCAACCACCTGCAGAAAACGCAGCAACGCCCCCACCCTGCGCCACTCCCCCAACTCCAGTAGTGTCTGCAGACTGAACACAGTCACCCCCAACGTAACCTAAACGCCAAACGTCTGCCGCCGATCAGCCACACCTCAGAAGAACGTACCCAACATTCTTCCCCACACTCACACTGATTATCTGGGTGCCTACCAACCAATAACAGCCCCCCCCCCCCCCCCCCCCCCCCAGACAGCTATGACCCAGCCGCAGTCGGGTCATGACCACAGAGTCACGCCTCCTGCAGAAGAGATCCGACCCGTGACCGCCCAGTGCTCCCTGCATCCCAGGAGGCCTGCCACATCTCCATGGCCACCCGACCAATCGTAGAGCGACACTCCAGAGGTCCCAACTCCACCCCAAAATTCACATCCCGGCTCCCTAGTGCGCCCTTAGCCACAACGTCTGCCCGTTCCTTACCCTCCACCCCCACATGAGCCAGATCCCAAACAAAACACACCTCACAGCCCCTCACTCCCAGCCGATGCAACACCATCCTGACAGAAGCCAGCAAGTCAGGCCGAGACCCGGAGCGCTGCCCCGCCAATGCCTCCAGCACCGCTGCCGAGTCAGAACAAATAATGGACCGAGACAGCGCATGCCCCCCCACCCAATGCAGAGCACACATAATTACCACCAGCTTGGACCTGAACAGCCATCCTGCAGCCGGCGACCACAGCTGTAACCCAGACTCGGAGTCACCAAACCCGTCCCCACCCTGCCGCTCACCGGGTCCTTCGAGCCATCCGTAAACAGCTGCAACAAGAACCCCAAACCGTCCCCATAAAAACCATCAAATCACCAGCCCTCCCAGCACCTCGACCCTGACCCAAGAAAGAAAAATCAACCTCAGGCTCAGGGAAAATCCAGGGCAGAACCTGAGTCTGAACCAGGTGGGAGCTCACTGGCCACTCAAGCCCAACACGTTCCCCCATCTTCTCAGACGGTCTGGTAATCCACCCCCTTCTGCTCGACCCCTCGAACTCCCAATGTCGGCCCAACAGAGCCACCGCAGGGGCAGACTCCCCCAAACCCTTGGCCCTCAGCAGGAAACAGATCCCCAACTTGATCCGCGGAGACTCCAAAGGCACGTCCCCCGCTTCAACAAGGAGGGCAGCCACCGGGGTCGACCAAAACACCCCAGTACACACCGTCAGAGCCGCCGCCTGCAACACATCCAGCTGCTTCAGGGTCGTAGGCGCAGTCAAACCGTACAGGAAACACCCGTAATCTAGGGCCGACCTGATCACACCCTTATAATCCAACATCAATGTTGCTTGTGTGCGGTAATTTAAAATAATCCCTTATTACTGTAACATTTGTGCAGAACTAAAAAACTCCAGACAGAACAGCATTTTGCCCTAAACTGGTTCAGAGAAGTCCGGTGAACAGCTCCCATCTCCCTGCATCTGCAGCATTCCCTTTGCTCTTAAAGAAACAGTACCATCAGGCTACAGCAGCTCTCCCAATGGCCCCTTATGGATCGTTACAATATTTAAAAATTATGTTCAGATGTTTACAGCGCTTCCTAATAATTCCTAATAATTATGATGAACTCCACATATATATATGTATTTATTGCTGCAATACTCTGAAATAAGGGGATGAAATCAGGTTTAGACTCTGCTCATAAAAATAAACTAACAGAATCAGAAAATTATTAAACATCGCTGATGAAGTTCATTTGTTTTATGTTGAATTTATTGATTAATTGGGAAAAAAATAGAGGATCAAATCCGTCCTTCACAGAGAGGAAAAACCTTGTGATGATGTTTAAAAGCCAGATGCGGGCTTGTGAATTCTCTTTAACGTGTTGAACCGCTTCAAACCACATCAGGAAATTAATCCAATAGAAAATCATTTTCTAATCATTAATGAATCGTGAGCAGGGATAAACTGTATGGAATCGGGCAGAGGGTTTGACCACATCACTGGTAGTGTATCCAGATGCGAATCAGCCTCAGTGGTGGAGATTCACATTCCTGCTGGACAGAAGGGACGTCCTAGGTTAGAGCTGGCCTGAGCTTTTCAAATCTGTCTCTCAGCAGCAGACCACGCCATCAAAGATGGCTGATGCCCCTCTGTGAGAGCAGCCCCTGCACTCTGAAGAACCTCAGTCTCATCAGAAGGAAGAGTCTGCTCTGACCCGTCATGAAAAGAGCTTCTGGGTTTTGGTTCCAGTCCAGTTTGTTGTTCAGGGGAACACCCAGGCACCAGTACCAAAGCAGAAATCCTCCAGCAGCTCCTTGGTTCTTCTGCACTGACCAGGAGGTGGTTCTTCTGACATCAGTCCACCAAATCCTGTGTCCTGTGTCCTCAGAGTCGTCCTCACAGGTGATGAGGCCGACAATGACAGAGTCATGAGAGAACTTCGAGCAGCCTCCAGGGTGTTGACCTGGTAATTAGGTTTCATGTGATGTTCCTGTTTGAGCTCGTGTTCTTCTACATTTGAGTTCTTAACCTTGAAGTTGGGTCTTAATTTAAGGATAGGGCCAGGATAACCCATCTACCCCTGATCAGACTGGGCCTCTGCCTCCCAGATGCTGGTTCAGGAGTATGGGACCTGAAGGCTCTGCCTCCTGTTGAAATTCCTCCACAGGAATTATTTTAATGAAACTCAAACCACATTATCAATGGAGGTTTGTCTTCAGCTGATGAACGTCTCTGCTTCGTGAGGGCTGCCACAGCTGATCTCAGCCAGCACACGTGTCTAAATCAGTCTCAAGGATACGGATCTAAACTTTGGTGCCTTCATAGCTGAGTCTGTCCTCAACACATCTGAGTGAAAACGGCAAATTTGGAAAACAAATTAGCTTGAAACATTTTTTCACGCCTCTTAATGTTCTAATAGTGGATAGTTATAAACATATTGTGGAAATTTTAAAAAGTGGTTCTCTCATAAAAGCTCCTCTAACAACACATTTCAGACCAACGCCAACCATCAGACCTTCCGGTTGTCGGTCTCACCGAACCGCTGCACCTCCTCGGGTCCTCCACTCATCACACACTCACGTGTTCAGCAGCAGAACACCACTGGTGTGAGAGGTTCTCCGCTCAGTAACATCAGAGGAGAAACAGCCGGCTGCTACCGTTTCAGCTTTAGGATGAACTATCAGAGTCCCAAAAACAGCGTCTGAAGTCACGGACAACAGAAGACATTTGGACTGATAAAACAGTGAATGGTATTTAGATTTATCTCATTTCCTCTGGCAGTGTGGGTTTCTGGTTCCAGCGAACAAGGCCCAGGGAAGGTACCTGGGTGGAGCTTGTTCTGTAGATTTGCTATAACAGCTTTAATTACTGATTAATAACACGTGGAGAAGGTGCTGACACGATGGGAATTTATCTAGTCAGAGGAAATGAAAAGAGTGTTCTTAGATTCATTTTTTTTTTTTTTTTTTTTTTTTTTATTAATTTGTTTATCAAGAACACATATAGACTTACATACATTGCATTGTATACAACTTAAATGACATATTTTCTCAGATATTTCTTTCACAATATTTTTTAACTTTAACTTATCAAACAGAAGACAGAAAAAAGAGAAAAAAAAATAATAATAAATTAAAAAAAATTAAAATAAATAGATAAATATAAGGGGGAAGGGGGGTGCTTAAATCCAATGTCTACCTAAAAAAAAAGAAAGGAATAAGTGTCGGATTCTTTTCAATATAGTCGCAGGATGGGCAAGTTGCTTCGCATTAAGGAAAAGATTTGAGATATTCCAGAAAGGGTGTCCACTTGTGGATAAATTTTGCTGAACTACCCTTCACTGTGAGTGAGATCTTATCCACCTTCAAAAATGTCCGGACAGTGTTAAGCCATTGCAATGTAGATGGAGGCGTGGAAGATTTCCAAAGAAGTAAAATACACCGTCTAGCAAGGAGGGAGCAAAAGGCCAAGATCTCATTTTGCTGGGGAGTTATATTAAGAGGCGTCATCGGAACTCCAAAAATGGCTATTAGAGCGTCCTCTCGGATTTGTGTTCCAAAAACCCCCGAAAGTACAGAAAAGAAATCACTCCAAAACTTGTTCAAACTCCGACAGAAAAAAAACATATGGCTTAAATTACAAGGGGAGATGTGACACCTGTCACATTGGTCTATGATTGAAGGAAACATCTTAGATAAACGAGATTTTGAGAAATGGACTCTGTTTATCACTTTAAATTGTATAAGCTGTAGCCTAGCACATGGTGTACTTGAACGCATGATGAGATTCACCTTATCCCACCATGATTCACACAGTTCAAGACCTAATTCACGCTCCCAGGCAGTTCTGATTTTACCTGGTGAGTTAGATTCAGTTGCCATAAGCAT